GGGTCAAATGTGGGTCACGTCCTTAAATCCCCTCTCTCAGTGCCGATTCTACCCTCCACCAATTTAAAATCATTTCAATAAATTCACTTGTAATTCAGCGACAAACAATTAATATTTTCCTTGATTTAACACTCAATTTGTGGATGCATTGAGGGAGTCTGTCGAGCCATGAAAAAGTAGTTTACGAGCGTTCTCGCACGTGCTTACAACCCAGTTGTATACATGCGTATGTGTACATCCACCCAGGGGTAGGGAAGTGAGAGGGTTCTTTACGATTCGTGCGCCAGGATAGAGTACACTACGATGACGATGGAATTAAACGTCTGCGCACCAGCTCCACTGACGTCACACCACATACACGATATTCTTGACCCCCTCTAACAACATTACTCCACTGAAAGAGAAACATTTCGGAAGGTGTAGCGAAAAAAAAAAAATATCTACACAATGTGTTTATATTTTCCTTTGTATTCTGTTTACCGTGTACTATTCGCTTCACTCAACTAGACAGTGCCTTCGTGCCTGACCTCGGGCTCCTCCTCAGGTACCGTTATGTGCCTTCATACTAGCCGGTTTAAAGGGTCAAATTTATTTATTTATATGAATTTGTTTATGATCAACTCTCAACTAATTCCAACTCCAATTTTCAAACCCATCTACTTACAAATCTAGTTTTTCAATCGAAATCATTTCAGTTTTTTTTTTTTTTTCAATTTTTTCCAAGTCGGGTAAATATTAAATATGTCTTAAATAATTTTCCTGGGGGATGTGTCCTCGAAATCTCTTCCCAACTTGATAAAACCCTCCTCTTCCCCACGATGTGTCGACGTTAGCCAAAAAGATATGAAGATATCGAGGTAGAAGAGTCCAATATATAGTCGATCGAAGGTACAGAGGTATGAAGCTCCTCTTCAGGGTATGCACGTGGCCCAGTGTATATAGAGCTAGCACTGCGGTGGGATCGATTCGGTACCGGAGGTAGAGCCCTCCCTCTTCCACCCCTCACCCCTTCAACCTCGTTTACAAGCCCCAATCTACCCCCATCCCCCATACCACCCACTTCCTCATCTTCATCTTCTTTCTTCTCTTCACATTCCCCATCAACCCCCTCCAAAAATATCCTCACCCTGATACCTCTTCAAAGCCCCCAAAAACCATCCAATCCGCGTTAAACAATTTAAAAAAAAAGTAAATAAAAAATTGAAAAATTTATCAAGCTAAAGTGGAACGAAATAAATAATAATAAAAAGATTGACATGTCGAACAAAACGAGAGATAAAAGAATGACGTATCCGTCGAGAGGTATTGAATTCAGAGTAACAGTGATAACGAATACGCAACAATATTCATGACTCCTTTATTTTTTTTTTATAACAAAATTAATATTTTGATAAATCATCAAGGCAGTGATATTTGTAAACGATACATGAGTGTTGATAAATGTTGAAGGAGTGTAAATTCAACGGAAAGAATGTCAGTAAAATTCCACAGTATAAAGACAAACCATAACCACTTATATATGGTCCCCCCTTTTTTTTTTCCCTTGGCTTTTTTTTTTTCTTCACCATCGTTATGCCTTTGGCAGAGGTCTTCCACTCACAGATGCATCGAGTTTTCACAAATACACTAATACAGGGATAGGAGGAAACACGGTAATATTCACCATCTTCCTCTTGCTGTCTCCCTCAGTCACTCGTAATTTCACTCCCTCTCCCGAGGTACCAGTTTTCTCCCTCTCTCTGGAGGTTTATGTACCGAGGCCACTATGCATGAGGTTACATTTTCCACACATACATTTGTTGTATATACCCGTAGTCGTGTATATACATTGGATACATATATATTACAACAGGGGTATTGCAGAGGGGCTCGACGTACGATGGAGAGCATCAACTATGGCGCGCGGAATAACCGTAGGTCGGCGCTATGTATTCACGAGTACATAAACGTTTATATACGTTTATATACGGTTATATAGGGTTATATACGTTATATATATGTGCTAGGTATATTCATATAGAAGTGGGTGGTGGGAGGAAGAGGGAGAACGAGGGAGGAAAAGGGAAAACGAGGGAGGAAGAGGGAGGATGAGAGAAAGGGTGAGAAAGAGAGAGAAGGAGTACATATGTATACATGACCAGCGCAGACGGGACTCTCTCGGGTTAGAAACTATTGCAATGAGTTGAAGAGAGATGGTTGTAGCTATCTCCAACCTTTTTCATCGTACGAGCACGAATAGACCGACAGTGGAAAGCGGAAAAGCACGATGGCAATATCGTCGACCCGACGCCGTCTGCCTCCCTCGTAAAATCGGAATTCTACCCCATCCAACCACCCCTTTAGTTCACTCTGACCAGCCCAAAGAACTCGGATCTCATCTATGATTTGGTTCATCAATTATTTAGGGCTCATTTCAATTCAACAGCCAATATTTCACATCAAGGAGCTGCTCTCACTCGAAAAATATATGAATGAAAATTTAATTACGCATTCTATTTTTACCCCAATATATATATCTGGTATATATTCGCTGGTATATCTGGGAAATATATGTATTGCATACATATTCAGCATGTATATCTGAGGTATGTTCCTGGAAAAGGAAATATGGAAAATATATATCAATTATGCAGGCATATTCCACGGAAAACGCAATATATCAGATATATACTGAATATTTATTTATTATATTCCAGGTATAGTACATTTCCCGAAGAAAACCTATCAGATATATATATTTATTATACATACACATGTTTAATGTTTTGGATTTAGATATATGTGCTTGTTTGACCGAAGTATATGCCCATATATTTGATATATATTATAGATACATACCGCTTTGCGACACTCCAGAAATTCCCACGGTTTTTTCAACATTCATTTTGTTTATATCTCATTAACTCGGGAAGGGGAATGCCGGCCCCGCGCCACCTGAGTTATAGAGACTCTACATTATTTTCTCCATCTTCTATTTTTTTTTTTTTTGCTTTCCACATTTTTCGAGTCGATCGAATTGAATAGTTCAGCTTTAGCCCCTCGGAAAAATTTAATAAATATATATAAATATATAATATAATTTTTTTCGATGGTGGTAGCTAAAGAGGGGAATCCCCGTAATTTTCAGGTGAAACCCCTGAGCCCTCTGTCACTGATGCGTCAATTATTTGAAAATTCATTCGATTGAATATCGAATGGTGGCGATATTTTCTTCTCGACTGGAATTTCTAAACTAGATCCGTGAAAATAATTACGAAACAGACGAGTTTTTCATATATACCTGTGGGGAATGTATACATTTCGTAGTCCCTCTCGAATTCCATCACGAAGTTATTGATTCATGGTTGAGTATCTTCGATTGCGGTTCTCCAGGAGTTAGAGAGCCCCTTTGTACCCTCGACTCGATTGAATGGCCATGATTTTTTTATGATTCGATAATTCGATAAAGACTCCAAACAAGAGATCGACAGTCGCGACGGAGATGAGTCGGAGAGGTTTCCGCGAGTTTCCCGCGGTCACTCATTCCCGACGAATTTTTTGGCAGTATGCAACAGTTGGATGAAAACATTACCAAAGCAAGTGCGATATTGTCCGAATAATTTTTTAAATAATTAATCATGACCCTTTAAAGCCCCGAAATAATCCCTAAACATAAATCAAAGTAACAAATAAATTTTTTCATTAAATTTCAAATAATCTCGACAGTTCTGGAATTATTGAATTAAAATGAGCGATGATGAGGAAAAAAATAAATTTTGGATTTACAATGGAGTACAATGGATTGGGATGGAAAGGTGGAAAGGAGAACTGCGCGCTGTGTGGAGTTAAAATCTGAGGCGTTGGTGTACCAGAGAGAGCGCCGAAGTGCGGAGAACGGCTGACCCGGGTGGTGATGACGACAAGGGGGTAGGAAAACCAGTAGGTGAGGTAGCTGGGGTGAAAGGGGATTTGGTGGTGGGGATGGATGACGCTGTTCAGTACTTGTGCTGTGCGCTAGTCCAAGTCACTGTGAAAACCCGAGCGCTCACTCCTACGCGATCTGTTGAACGGGTTGGACGGGTGCTTATCACTCCCCGAGACCCTATAACTGACAAAAATACACCTGTTTTTACAACAAGCGAAAATTCTTAACCCACGGATTACTAAAACAACCCCTTGACACCATCAAACACCAATAAACAAATCCATCCCACCCCTTATATTTATCTCTGAAATTATTTTCATTTCACTTGATTAATTATCAGGCAAATTGAATTGTTCATTTGATTGATTAATCAAGGATGATTCTCACTGGACTTGCGAGTGTTTTAATCACATATTCGCGTGTTGAGGGTACAGGAGGGTGGGATTCAGGGACTTAATTGCAGAAAGGTAAATGTCCTGTCGTCTCTCTGCTTTTATTCTGATTGTATTCATAATTATTGTTGGACTTGCGTTGATTGATTAGTATCGGGGCGTCTTTGACTGGATGGTTTGGCGTTGCCAATTGATGAGAGGAAAAATTATTTATTTTTCCCTGTTCAATTCACTGTCACACGCTGGTAAACACTTGAACTCTCCACAGGAGTGGTGCGCGATACCAGCCTAGACCGTGCGGCTTATTGATCCCTTCGCTCTCCTCATCCTCTACCTTTACCCCTGCTTATGATACCCTCAAATAAATTATTCAACCAACAAACCATCATTAATTAATAAAGCCTCCAGCCTTTTTGTTATTCACCAGTGAAAGTGGACTTTCATATTATTCCATAGAACCCAAGAATTCAGAGAAAATCGTCAGAGAATTTATTGTGCGAAGAATTTCGTTTCTCAAATGAAAAAAAAAATTAACAACAAATGCAGATATCTCGGAATTTTACAGCTTAAAACCCGAGAATATTTACGGAATAATCTGAATCCCATTTCTCCTGATAACGAAGATTGAAATAATGAATGTAATTATGTTAATGAATATTTATAAATATGCGCTTTTTTTTGTTTATCTCTGTTTATGGGAATAGATCAGATAAAGGCACGAGATGGAATCGGCTTTGGCCCAGGATCTTTCTCACCTTGTTGAGGCCCAAGAGGATTCCAGCTCAGTGGATCAGCCAGCGAGTAACGATGAGACGTTTATTGAAGCCCCCGTGAGATCCGCTACCTACTTTAAAATAAACAATCATGATGATGATCTACACGAGGAATGTACATCACAGCAATTGTCGTGCAATGGTGCAGTGCCGACTATTGGCCATTTCGAAATGTCCAGCAATAGCAACAATGAGAGCTCTGAGAATGCAGAAGCGGTTGTGACAGAAGTGAGTACCTTCGGTGATAGATTGTGCACTTACAGTGCATCATCACCGAATGATCGGTCGCGTGATTTTCCATCGAAAAATGCCGAGATGAAGAAAATTGGTGTGGAGATCTCGGAGGAAGAAGCTAAACAATTGAAGAATGATATCAGACGGTTATCACCGGTGCTAGTGAGTCTCCATGAACGAACTCTCGGTGAGATATCGTTGACATCTGATTCTGGACTGTTTGATGATGAGAAACACGAGCATAATGATCGCGATGCATCGCTGAATAGTTTAGTAGATAATGTTGAGTGTGTTGTGAGTGAAAATTGTGGTGAAGATGATAAGAGACATGAATCTAATGAGACAGCAGTTGTTTCGAAGGTGGGGGAGGATAGGGTTTGTGATAAGGAGAGGATGAGTACGCCGAAGGGCTTGATGATCGTGTTGGAGCGAATTGATAAGACTCCGGAGGGCTTGAAACTTAAGATGAAGGAGTCAGAGAATGATTTGACGGTGGAGCACACGTGTGTTAGTGATTTGAGGAGGGTGGAGGATATTGAGGGATTTAGTTTGTCTCCCAAGTATTTGGAGAATGATCAGTTGACGAGGAAGAGTCCGATGGTGATGATTGAGAGGGTAAATGGGTTGGGAGAGAAGAGTGTGGGGCAGAGTGATGTGAGGATCGCAAGAAAACTTGAGGTGGAATTTGAGGAGGATGTGTTGGAGGCTACCAAGATCAGTGAATCCTCTGACAGTTTGGTGGATGTTGGGAGGGGAATTGGGGAAGTTCAGGAGCAGCATGATACTGAGACTGAGACTGAGACTGGCTCTGATAGCTCTGAGCTCATTACCATCACTATCAATAAGACTGTTGTCAGGTGCGAGACAGGTGCTATTGTTTGTGATGTGGTGAATCCCGAAGTGATGGCGAGGCTTGGGGCTGAAGAGCCTGAGGCTTTTACTGAGGACTCGGCTGAGAGTCTCGCTTTGGCTACCGGGGCCAGGGATGAAGTCAGATCCGATGGAAGTGACTCAGGGCTTGGTGGAGAAATTTCTGGGGATCCTGGACCTACTCCAGCACCCGAAAGCGATTCAGAGACCAGTTTTTTGGATAGAATACCTGATGATATACTGTCGGATAAGGAGAAAGGTAAGGGATCATGCGATATTACCGTTTTTATCGTCTTTTTACTCCGGGGGGTTTTTTTAAATCATAATTTCTGTTATTTTGACTGGAAAATCGGGAGATTGGAAATTTTAATTAGGAAGTGATGCATTGTAGACAGAAAATCAATAGTTCACATTCTGGATTAATAGTGAATAAAGTTGCTGGTGTTAATAAAAATGGAAAAGGGAAGAAAGCAATTTTTCCATTCGTCAATTCGATTTCTCGAGATTCGAGGCTCGGGAGGTAATTTTTATGAACCCAAAATTAAATAGACTTTAATTTCAAGAGACGTAGATTAAACATAAGTAGACGAATTATTATCCCTTTCACAGTTCCCCGGATTATTTCTCAAAAGATGAATAATTAGAAAGCTGATTCCAAATTTACTCATTACCATTTCACAGAGACGCAAATTCCCGCTCTCAAGTTCACCGCGAATATGTATGGAGTTTTCAAAACATTGGTTATTTAAAATTTGACGAAGAGCAGTGAATTAAAATAATCCAAATGTTGTTCACTACAAAAATTCTAAACTTTCTGTATAAAAACAACTCTAAAGAATTTGAAATAAGAAAAAAATCATCATTCCTGCTTCACACATCAAATGTCAAGTTAAATGTGATTAGAATTTTCAATCTTCCAGGATAAATTTTGTGTAGAAAAAAGACTAACATAATTACGTAATTAAAAAATGGTTGTCCATCGAATTTTCCAGTGTTCGATGAATTCCCCAATAAATAAACTCACCGCGAGAAAAATTTGATATTAAAATTGGCAAAAAAAAAACCGTTTCAAGACAATAAATAATAAAACTCTGTTTTCTCTATTATTCGTCTCTTGATCAACGAAGTTTCCATATGCTGCGCTTTTCCCCAAGCTAGAAAGTCTGAACCGTTGTTTGTCCTGATTAAAAAAACCTAGATATTACGCATAAAACTTGAAAAATCTGGTATCCTTCAATTTTCTGCAATGCATTCCTCCGAATAAATGAGCCCAGAGCAATTTCAATGTTAAAAAATAATTCACACTTAAATGCATGAATTACAAGTCCTCCGTTCTCCAATTATTCCCAAAAAACGAATGAATCCCCCGGCACTGTAATATCCTATCCCTCCTCCACGGTGAAAATCAATAATTCTGCATGAACTCTGAAAACCGAGAAAAACTTTAATGACCAAAGTTTGATATTCACCACCACTAGTTTATGTACAACCCTCTCCATTTAAAAAACACCCTCACTCCATGAAATTTTGCCTGGCAGGGATGAATTGATTAATCCTGGAGCGTAGAAATGACAACCGGCATTAATGATTATCACGTATTTGATTAAAGTGGTGAATACACTGGATGACTACGGGTCATCTAGCGGCAGTACCAGTGCAGTGACACTGCCTAGTTTTCCAACACCACAAAAGAGTAGCCTGAAGCGACGATTGAGCGATTGCATGGAGGGTGAGCCGAATGCCAAACGTAACAACAGTGAACCAGCTAGGAAAAAACGTAATATACAGTTTGACGCTGTTACCGTTTATTATTTTCCACGCTCTCAAGGATTCACCTGTGTGCCCTCTCAGGTATTGATCCATCATATATTATTATTTCTTTCCCATCCCCAATTTCACCGATAACTCTCTTCATCATTTTCATTTGCATCTACTTCATTCCAAGTATTTCAAGTACGCGTAATAATTTCATTTAATAATTTAATCTGTAATGAAGGGGAAAAATTAAATAAATTATTGATGAAGAACTTGCGTTCGACGGTGGGATTTTTGGAAATACTTGGGAGAGTCAAGGAGATGGCGAAATTTTTGGAGGACTGTCTTCTTTGACAATTTTTCTTCAATTTTCAATGTTAATAAAATTTGGGAATGTTTTCATCGTGAAAAATTGGGATAACGCGGTTAATAAAATTTTAAAGAAATCTCAACAATATCAAATAGAGATATTATTCAGTTTTTAAGTCGTATAAATCTGAGTTGTACTTTGTACTTTGGGATTTTGTACTTCTGAGGATCTCTTTGAGCCTTTAATATACTCGGAATAATTCAGAGAAAAGTGGTAGAAAATGAGGACCACAGTCAAAGTGAATTGCAAGACTATTCCACGAGTATGTCCGAAATGTTAGAGAAATTGCCATGAAACGTTTCTAATGAGAAAATGCAATACAGCATGGTGTTATATTTGCAATCCAATTAGTACAGGACTTTTGGGTTGTCAATCCCGGGAGTTTTATTGCTCATTGGAAATGACCGACAGAAAACCGACTTTTAATTCGTGAAATTACGAATAATTCAATGAGCAATTAATTTATTAAATAGAAATAATACAATTTATTCACCTTTGATGAATGATAAATTCACGAATTTTTTGTCTACAGTCGATCTGCCGATTGCAAATTTCATCGAATAATTTTGAGTTTTATATTGGAAAACGACTGGGTTGAAATGAATATTTGATCTCAGAATGAATCGATTGCAAAATGAATAGGTCAGTTTTATAGAATAGAAATAGAGTCTCTCATTTGTAATATTGATTTCCCTCAAGTGAACGTCACTAGCACCTCATGAAATTTATCGAAATTTCATATATGATCAATTTTTATGTGTTCATATGTGATCATGATTTTTTACAAAATGATATATGACATTATAATTGACTTGGAAAAAATTGTTTTGCGAATACTTATATCGATCTGTGCAAGGATGAAGACCATATAGCATCGAAAATAATGATAATGTGGATTGATAATCGTATTGATTGTAATTAATGTAATTACTCAGGGCGGGAGTACACTGGGCATGAGTGCAACGCATACCCACGCAGAGAGATTTTCACTGTCTGAGCATGCAGCTGAACAACGACGACTGCATCGTGCACGTTTGGCGCAGCTTCGGTCAGAGAGAGCAGCAAATTGTGTGGTAGAGACAGCCTCGAGCTCTGAGGATCCGAGTGACGACACCGATGAGGAACCGAGCGACGGTGAGGAGCTCGATATTGACAGCTACTATTTTCTACAGCCTGTCCCAACATGGCAGAGACGTGCACTCCTCCGTGCTGCTGGGGTCAGAAGGATAGATGCACTCGAGAAAGACGAGTGCAGAGATATACGCGCAAGTAGAGAGCACTGCGGATGTGGATGCAAAGGGTATTGTGATCCTGAGAGCTGTCCTTGCTCCAGGGCTAATGTCAAATGCCAAGTGAGTTATCTTGATTATCTGATTTTTATTCCTCTGGTATTTCCAGTAACTCTTCCGATACTTTTTCAAAATCACCTCTGAAACGAAGAGGGATGGAAAAATTTTTTAGAGGAATTTTTTTAAGTTTCTATTTGCTCTGCAAAACGACTCATCCGTTTAATTCTGAGAATTCATGGAAAACTGGCCAATAATCAAAATCGAGGTAAATTGGCTCACCACTTCGCCATTGAAATATAATGACGAACGCTGAACTGCGCCGTCATCAGTAAACTTGGAAACTCTCATAATTAGATCAATTAGTCTCTCTTTTTTTTTTCGTAATGCGCTTCACGATTTTTTCTTTGAGAATTGTTAGACTGTGATGGGTTTATTTTACTGATGCGGTTCGCCACTCCTACCCTTCGCCTGCACAACAGTGGCTTTCAATTTTCGATAACTGTTTTTGTTTTGAATCGTCCAATGACCTCTCAAAATGAACCCTTCCACATCCCGGAAACTAATGAAACTTTCGATGATTAAAGGTGGACCGCGCAGGTTTTCCCTGCGGGTGTTCCCGCGACGGCTGTGCAAACTCATCGGGACGAATAGAGTTCAATCCGGTTCGAGTCCGTACGCACTTCATCCACACCCTAATGCGCCTGGAACTAGAGAAAAAACAGCGCGACGAAGACTCAACGGAGCACGAGCCTCCACTCCCCCGAGGTCCTCTCCGTGAACACCATCCAACTCAAATCCACGATCCAACCCGTCCCCCGGACACATGCCTAAATAATGGTTTCACCACTCTCCACTACGATCCCCACGATCCGACAGTCTGCCAGCCTCTCCATCCAGCTCGCGAGGACAGCCTAGATCTCTATGCAATCCGCGACGACTGCTATCCCTCCGAAGAAACCGTCGACAATCCTCACAACTCACCCCGCAAATTACACCCCGAGTTCAGCCAAGCTTTCCAGCCATTCTCAACCCAACCATTTCCACCACAAGCCTATCCCGATTATCAGTCCTATGAAAATCTTCCCTCCACATCCAGAACGCAATTCCCACCTCAATTTCAATCAGTACCTTCAAATCAAAATTTCTCCCACTACTCTTCCTATCAAGATACAACGATGCAACAATCTTGCCACCAGCACCAGCAGCATCAGCACCCAGCCCAACAGCACCAACAACAATCCATCTACGAGACATCATTTACTGATGATAATGGCGTACAGCAGTACACTAATCTCAACTCGGTACAACCCATGAGCAGCGTTGTACAGCAAATGGGCAAGCTCGAGCCATTCTCTGAATTATTAGCTGGTCGTTACTCGTATTATGGGGATGTTGAGCCACAGCCAATCAGCAGTTATCATACAAACAAAATAGAGGAGAAGGTTGTGGTGCAGCCAGGTGATGAAGGGGGTGATGATTGTGATGAGAACTTTGGAGAAATAATCAAGAAGAGTATGGTTGAAACTGTCTCTGCTTGAATCGGTGGCACATGACATGGAGGGTCTCATCGGTTTTTATTTGTCAGCTGAATATTTTCGGTACCTGAGGAAAGCTATGCATTTCTTTGCATCGTACATTGAACAACCCTTCGGTAATTTTTCAGTCGAGTCGTCTGGAGATAATTTCTGGACAACTTTTAAATGGAAATTTCCATTCCATTGAGATGTGGGACATTTCGTTTTGATTGGAATTGTCGGTATTTTATTGAATTATTGTCAACTCACGTTATAATTTAAGGAGTTGGAATGCGATTTTTGGGAAATCTAGAAGCGCTTGAGTGAAGACGAAATGTTCCAGACGTGAAAGGTGAGAAATTATTTCCAGTGGTCATCTTATTATTGAATTGTTTGTTCAATTGTATTTAACGAAAATACGATAGCTCGGGATTCTGCCCGGGTCGTGGTATTGAAATCAGCAATTAAGTGGTTGATCAATTCGAATGTGATAATTTGTTTGATTATGAAAATATCTTTGTGAATATCGATTTGAGGAGGGGTAGTCGATAGATTTTTTCCTTGGCGAAGGGAAAACATCTCCCGACATTCATTTCTCAAATCAGTAATTATGGAGATAATTGCGGAATTAATGGTTGTACCGCTTCTCTGTTGGTATTGATTCAGTGGATCGTTCCTAATTATGTTTTTACTTTAATTAATTGCCTATTGATTTCTGTGGGAGGGACAATAAGAATTTAAACGATGAGAAACGATATTTCAACGAGGTTGTGACCAAGAAACAACAAATGGGATCAGCTTAGATTGCAGTTTATTATTACATAACTTTAATACTTAAAAAAAAAATTAAAACAAATCGTGGTTTAAACATAGACTCGCAGGTCGCGTGGATTTTTGGGCTGACCCTTAGATGAATTTATTCTTTCATTCTGATTTATTTGGTAGTAAATTGGTTGAACAAGACGAGTCGAAAATTCTTGTCCCTCAATTAGGTGCTTACCTTGGAGATGGGTAGTTTTACAATGAGAAGAGATTCAAAGCGAATTTTTAACATTTTATTCAAGGATCACTCGGTGTTTAAATAGTCTGATAATTGACAATGAGAATGAGATGTCGACTCTGAACTTTTCACCATTTTACTGCTGTATTAATAGAATTTTTTATGAACAAAAAGGGTCGTCCTTTCTCTTCGTTGCACGAGGGTTGTACAAACGTATTGTACATCCTCGTCGCGACTGTGATAACGTGCATTAAGAAGCAAAATGAAGCTGAGAATTAATAATGATAAATTATTTCGGATTTGTTGGACCGAATTTGTGGTTTTTATTGACGTTATACTGTTGAGTGCATTAATAAAATTCGTCTAGCGCAGAGAACACTAGAAACATACACGAAAGAGATACGTAGTTATATCACGGTGCCCAGCTGATCGACATCACACTGTCTCATTATTTATTATTAATTATCTCTCAGTTTTGAAGGAATGCAGGAGTGCAGTGAGAATATCTCCGAGAGGGAAAGGTCCAGAGAATTTTTTTAAAAAATATTGAACGATCGGCAAAAAGATCTCTTGACATTTTCCTCTGCACTCACCAGTGCCTGAGAGATTGACAGTATAATCTCCCGGATTTTTCCACTTCACTGCAAATTCCACGTTTTGAAAATTTATGAAGCAATTTTAATGAAAATGGGACCGCTTTATATTTCTCAATTAATCATGAAGTTAACGGAATGGATGATGGATTTTAGAGAAGCATTGAACAACTTTCTAAGATGTTGTTGGGGCAATATGTTCTGAGTCCGTGTTTTTTATTTTAAAAACATGATTGAATTATAACTGCGTAAGGAAGAAATAAATAATTGTACGACGATAGTATTAAATTTATACATATTTACCCGGACGTGTCAGCTCCCGAGCAAATCCTGTCTAAAATACATTGTGAGAGAGAAATCAGTGGTGGAGTGGTGAAAATCGAGAAGCCCAAACGATATATCATTGTTTTGGAAATATCTCAGTGACCAGTGGATACGACCAGAGAACATCCACAAACAAGCTCTCACGATTTTTTCACCGATATCCACTGCTTTCCGAGATAATTACTAAACAATCTGTACAAAATTATTCGATCTATCTCCACTTCGCTACGGAATATCCAAAATTATATATAAATATATGAATATTGTATATGATACTTGTTTTTCGAAATATCGTAATTCATGGTTGATTCTGTGGCGTCAATTAAACCGTTGCGAATGACGGTGAGTTTGCATAAATTTGTAAAATAGTAAAAATACTAATGTTTAATTAATTAAAATCGACAAAAAAATATGGAAAAATATTGTGAACGCATCGAGTGAATACTTCCGATAAAATTAAATATTTGGCAGGGTAATGAAATTTGCGAGGGACGTGACACCTCCTTACAACTATAAATATATAAATATTATATATAAAAGAAGTATAAATATAAACTACCGCGTATGTAAGTAACTTTTAGAGTATTTGAGTAAAAAAAGGCATACATAGTTGATAGTGTTTTATTAAATGTTGTGGAAAAGTCTTTCTGTGTCTGTCCGTATTCGTATCCCCAGAAAATACACCTCTTCCATTTTCTTATTCGTTCCCGTGCATTCTATTTTATCATTATGTCCAGCATTAAAGTCACCCCGAAAAGTATATGCTATGAGAGAAAAAAATGTCGAGGTTCCTGGAGTGAGGATCGATAAGGGACGCGACTGCGCGATAGGGATTACACCCCAAGTCATTCGATAATATCACTGCAGATAGTCAAGCTGCAAGTACTCTACAACAATTGTTAATGAGGGATCATTAATAATAATTCGTCAAGCTGGCAGATATTGTGAACATTTCTCCACCCCACGTACCTCTCATGTGCCGATTGATTCTTGCAAATTGGGATAATTGGGATGATTATCCAGTCGTGACATGTTGACATGAGACTTGTCAATTTGAAAGCCAGAATATGAGTGGATCGGCTTTATTTCCTTTTTAAGGAAATGAGGGGAAGGGAATGGGGAGTACTGCACCCTGAGAGAGGGAGGGTGCAACATGCAATACTCGGGTGTCCATCAAGTCCACGGGGTGAATTTTATTTTCTGCGGTATGGGGAAGCCACATCTTGTGGAATTTCAAATAGAAAAAATCGTTAATATATTGAAGATATACTACTAATTAAATTATAATTTCATAATGAGCGCGTTGTCAAATCGGCAACCCGCTTGACTGGTACGCGAACCGCGTGGGTTCGATACCAGCATCATTAATTTTTTTTTTTTAATAATTCCAATTTTTTTTTTTAATAAATGGCTAACGAGTGGAAATATTGTTTAAAAACTGAATATTTGAAAATCGAGGAGATATCCAGTGAAATTGAGAAATTTGACATTTTTTTAAAACATAGTTTTTCAAAATATATACTACTAATGAAATTATTTTATTGTAATAACGCGTTATCCTAGCGGTAACGTGCTCGCCTAGCACGCCGACGGCCCGGGTTCGATCCCGCCGTCATTCATTTTTTTTTTTAAATGATTCCAATTTTTTCATTTGTAAATGGCTAATCAATCGAAATATTGCTTAAAAACTGAATAGCTCTTCGATTGTCATGTTCCCCTGATACTTTTTCAAAAATTTCGAATTTTTCACTTTCAGTGAAAATTTCAGTGAATAACTCCTCCATTGTCATGTTACCCTGATACTTTTTCAAAAATTTCGAATTTTTCACTTTCAGTGAAAATTTCAGTGAATAGCTCCTCGATTGTCATGTTCTCCTGATACTTTTACAAAAATTTCGAATTTTTCACTTTCAGTGAAAATTTCAGTGAATAGCTCCTCGA